TAGTGGTAGTAGTCATGATAGTAGTAGTAGGTGTAGCCATACTAGTCATAGTAGTAGTAGTAGTAATAGTAGTAGTTGTCGTTGTTGTTGTAGTACTAGTAGTAGTACTAGTACTAGTACTACTACTACTACGACGACTACTACTACTACTACTACTACTACTACTAGTAGTAGTAGTAGTAGTAGTAGTAGCAGTAGTAGCCGTAGTAGTAGTAGTAGTAGTAATAAAGGTAGTCTAAATCGTCGTCGTATTCGTAGTCACAGCAGTGGTAGTAGTAGTAGTCACAGCAGCTGTTATAGTAGTAGTCGTAGAAGTTGTAGTAGTGGCCGTAGTAGTAGTAGTAGAAGAAGTAGTAGTGGTAATACTACTAGTAGTCGTACTTCACCGACCCCTTGTGGGCCTCTAGTCGCGTGGAACTGTCCTTCCCCCATAATCCCCCCCCCGGGGACCCCTCCCCCTCTCGAGCCTGGCACGAACGCATCATGGGGACATGAAGGGCCGCAAAACTGGCCAAGAAGACCCCAAGAAGCTCCCAAAGCGGTCCAGGGGAGCCCCGAGTTGCGGAATGAACATCCCAAGACGCCCAAAGAATGCCTCCAGACGGCCCCAGATGCCCCGAAGATCTCCAAGAGGCCTCCAAGAAGCCTGCCCACCAGGAAAAAAATAGGTTCAGCAAATTCGCATCTGCGGCCAAGATCGCACCAAGACGGCCCCAGATCGCATCAAGACGGCCCAAGATCGCACCAAGACGGCCAAAGATGGCCCCAATACTGTTCCAAGACGGCGCCAAAAGGGCCCCAAGACGACCCAAGAGGCCCCCAATACGGCTCAAGACGGCCTCGGAACCGCCGGGACGGCCTTAAGAGGGGGCCCAGAGGGGAAGACCGAACGGACATTTCGAGCCCTCGGTTCCAAGACGCGCTCAGGAGACGTACATGTAAAACCCGCGGCCGTAAGACGCGCTTAGGAGGGGGCCCGAGAAGCCCCGTAGAAATCCCCACGAGGCCCCAAGAGGTCCAGAAGAGGCCCCCAATAAGCCCCCATGATGCCGCCAAAAGGCCCCCGAGATGCATCCCAGGAGATCCTATCAACCATCCGAGTGGCCTCTCACCCACAACCAAGGTACGGTGGCAGATAGGCCGAAGGCCATTCTTCATTTAGCGGTCTGGGAGCCCGACGAAGGTATCCTCCTCCTCCTCCTCCTCCTCCTCCTCCTTCTCCGCCTCCTCATTCTCTTTCTTCCTTTTCTCACCTCCTCCTCGTCCTCCTCCTCCTCCTCTTCCGCCTCCTCCCCCCCCCCCTCCCCGCCCCTGTCAGCTCTGGCCCAGAAGGGGACCGAAGCGCGCCCGGAGAGGGCAGAGATTTTGGATCTCCGCCGCCGCCGCGCTCGCTGCTCCGTCGCCCAGGCCACGGGCCGCGGCCCGCCGCCCTCAGTAGTAGGTGCCGTCGTTCTTGCCCTGTTACAGAGCAGCTTTTAACACATAGGATTCTTAAACATATAGGATTCTTAAATGCATGATTAATTTTTGAATAAATTCATGCATGAACTCATCTTTGTTGTTAATGCTAAATCCCCGCATTTTTGATACATGATCCGCACGCGGAGCATGTATTAAAAACGGCACTGTATCATAACATGGAGCAGAAAGCGGCACGTGGACGATTCAGGAGACCCTGGACGCAAAAACGCTTTCATCTCCTTGGGGGGCGCATTCTTCACTTCCGCCACCCTCCGCCGCCCTTCCGCCGGCTTCCGCCAGCGGAGGCGGCCTCGTTTTACTTCCGCCGGCCTTCCGCCGCCCTGCCGCCGCCTTCCGCTGCGGGAGAGGCGGCAACTCCTTCGACTCTCGAAGGCAAGGCCCATTTTGGAACGCCCAAGGTATAGGTGGCGACATCCGAGCTACCCCCACCAACCATCGTTCATCCTGAATCGAGCGGAGGCGGGGGTGGGGTGCGGATTTCGCAGCGTGCTCGCCGGCGGATGAACAGACGCTTGGCCTCGGAAAGACAGCGTGCAAGACCGACCTCCGAAACCCACGCTGCCCCTGTGGGGCGATCCCTCCGCGAGGGCCCCTCCCGTGCACGCCATCCCTCTGAAATGGCTTCCTCGGCGCACGCTGTCCCGCAAGGCCGGCGGCGCCACGTCGCACGCCATCTTTCTCACGCCAGCAGTACGCTCTCGAAGCTCCGCCCGGATTTCTCGGATCTGCGCTGGGACCCCCCTGGCGGCGCCCCCTGGCGCCGCCCTTAACCAGGGAGGGGGGGTCGAGCGCCGATTCGAGAAATCTGCGCGCAGCTCCGAAAATGTGCAACTACCTATACGACCACCCTTCGGGTGGTAAGGATGTTTGGGGGGGGAGAGGGGGGGAACCAACATCTGACTCAATCGATCTCACTATCTATCTCACTCAACGGGACACCACGGGACACTTGTCGATCTCACTATCGATCTCACCATCGATCTCACTCAACGGGACACCACGGAACACCACGGAACACCACGGGAGACCACGGGACACCTCTCGATCTCACTATCGGTCTCACTATCGATCTCACTATCGATCTGAATCAACGGGACACCATCGAACACCACGGGACACCTCGGGACACCACATCGATTTCACTATCGATCTCACTCAACGGGACACCACGGGACACCTGTACCTGTCGATCTCCATATCGATCTCACTATCGATCTCACTTTTTGGGACACCACGGGACATCACGGGACACCTCGGGGCACCACATCGATCTCAGTATCGATCTCAGCATCGATCTTACTATCGATCTCACTCAACGGGACACCGCGGGACACTTGTCGATCTCACTATCGATCTCACTTTTTGGGACACCACGGGACACCTCGGGGCACCACATCGATCTCAGTTTCGATCTCACTATCGATTTCACTATCGATCTCACTATCGATCTCACTCAACGGGGCACCACGGGACACCACGGGACACAGCGGGACACCACGGGACACCGCGGGACACTGCGAGCCATCGCCGGACGGACGAACGGACGGGAGAGAATCATTTGTCTTGACTTCGCCCTAGCAACGGAGGACACCACGGGACACCACGGGACACCGCGGGACATCGCGAGCCACCGCCAGACGGACGGACGGGGGAGAATCATTTGTCTTGACTCCGCCCTAGCAGCGGCGGGTTCATTCCTCTCGCGCACCCGCGCAACTTCGCCTCGCCCGCACGCACGACACGAACGAAACGAAACGATTTCCCGGTTGGGGGTCTCCGTTCCACTGCGATCTCACCCCCCAACCTCCGATTTGCGCTGTTTTTCTTCTCCGACCTGAGCGTCCAGGATGCCCTTCCAGTAGTCCGCCTCGTAGGCCTTCTTCGCGTTGGTGTCGACCTGGACCTCGATGTCGCCGCCGAAGAAGCCGCTGCGGGCCTCGAAGATGGCCAGCTTCTTCTTCTCGATCACGAGGCCGGTGAGGGGGCCGATGATGGGCGGCGACGGGCACCAGTCGATCAGCTCGCCGTCCCCCACCTTCCACGACGAGCCGTGGAGCGGGCACACGATCGTGTCGCCGATGACGTCGGCGCCCTCGCTCATGGGGGTGCCCAGGTGAGGGCAGAGGTTGCCGACGCAGAACAGCTTGCCGGCCTCCGTCTTGCCGACCAGCACGTCGACGCCGCCGAGGTTGACGGCCCGCAACTCCGTGGGGGCGAGGTCGCTCTCCTGGCAGAAACGGAAAACCTGCACGAACGCAAAATTTCGGTGCTCTGCGCGGATTTCTTGGATCTGCGGTCGGTCCCCTTTCCTGGCGCGCGGCGCGCGCCAGGGGCGGCGTCGGAGGCACCGCCAAGGAGCTCCCGACGCCGATCAGAGCAATCCGCGGTGAGCTCCCACAGTGTACGTTTGTGCATTCTCTGCTGTTCTTCCATCTCCCTTTGACACTGGGCGGCGCGCTCAGAGGGGGGAGGGCGGATGACGTCTTAGAAGCACCCTGATTCCCAGACCCCCGACATCATGATTTTTTAATTAACGTCGACCCCTGGAGGTCTCGACCCATTCCCCTGGACCGTTTCTCATCCTGAGTCGTTCTTTGACGGTCCCGAGGGCCGGCAAGGGCCCCGGGAGGCCGAACGTAGGCAAAAACCGCCCGTCATGATTTTTTCATTGCCCGAGGGGGTCTGGGTTCGTAGGAAGGCGCCGGCCCTACATCTACAGACAAGGCCCGCACCTTCTGAGAGGCAGGGGTGCTTCTAAGAAGCCTTCCCCCCTCCCCCTGCCCCCCTCCACGCGCGGCGGGGACATGAATAAAGGGGCCCTGGGACACACAGGTAAAAAAAACACAAATAACAAGGTTTCCTGTATTTTCCCATGTTTTGTTCTGGGTTTTCGTCTTCCCCCCCCACTTCCCATATATTCCCCTATTTTCTGGGGAATCGATGATGAATTATGTCTGTGTGTGTTTCCCTCCTGAATGAAGCGGGTCCTGAGGGAAACGGGTCTCGGGCCTTACCCTGAGACCACCTTTGCATTCCGAGTCGTGTGTTGACAATCCCAGGGATCGTGGAGGGCCCCCAGGACCTCCAAAACGAGGACAAAAAATCTCGAGCCCCGTCCCCCTCAGGTCCTTAAGACGAAGCCAGGACGAGGAAACATTCGAAAAAGGATACATCGAGAATCTCTGAGATCCGCCGGCTCTGGAGGATGTCTCGGGCGCCGCGGCCTTCTCAGAGAATTGTGGAACGCTCTGAGAGCGCTCCGGCAAACACTGGAGCGGATATATCCTCGTCCTGGCCCCGTCCAATCAGGACCCGTTCTTCTGCCTGCCCTGAAGTCTGACGCTGCAAAAATACCCCGACCCTGCAAAAATCACCACCAGAGCCCAAGACTTGGGTCGGGCATGTCCTCCTACAGGCAGGCTGTGGACGAGAAATAAAGAATAGTCAAAAATAATCCAAATGAGTCAAAACTGATCCCAAAATCGTCCCCAGGCAATTTTTCACTATGTTTGAATCTTCCTCCTGTAGGGGGACAGGCCCGACTCAAGCCTAGACCTCAACTTGCTGTGCCCTTCTCCGAGCCGGGTCGATCCGTGAGGGGCCCCTGGCCCCGAGAGGCCAGGGGGAGACGCCTCTTTTCCGTGGAGCGACCGCGGCGCCCAGATCTGCGGGTGGCGATCCTTGAAGCCCGTCTTGATCCACGCGAGCGCCGGCAGGATGGTCTGCGTGGTGTACTTGGCCTGCGTCCTGGGCGCCTTCGCCCTGCCGGCCGCCGTGGCGCCGCAGAAGGCGGGCACGGGCGCCGCGGGCCCGGCCTCGCGGGCCAGCGCCGGCGCGCCCGACAGCAGCGGCACGGAGCCGGGGAGCACGTGCTCGCAGGCCTGGCTGCCCCCCGGGCCACCCCAGCACGGCCCGAGGCCGCCGCGGGGCCAAGACGATTTCCAGCCGGGGGGGCGGGTCCGAAACAGGAAGCGAGCAGGACGGAGGCCGTGCGCCCACCAGCCCAGACTTCGGGTCGGGTCGGGTTGGGGTGGTTCGGTAGGTAGCGAGGGCCAGGGACGCGACGCCCATCATCGCCAGGCGGCCGTTCTTGAGCTCGGTGAGCTGCTTCTCCTGCAGAGGAACCCCACGAAACTGTCGACACACATGTTCGAAGGCCCACGCAACATGGATCTCCAATGAGCACGCTAATCCCTGTGAGGCGATCCCTGCCCGACGGTCCTTTCTGTGCACGTCATCCCCCTGCCAAGGCTTCATTGGTGCACGCCTTTCCCAAGCGGGCCGGCGGCACCACATCGCACGCTACCTTTCCAACGCCAGCCGTAAGCTTTCGGAACTCCGAAACTTTACGCCGATATCTTTTTGTCATTGATCCTGCAGGTCAAAGCCGGGCTTCTTGGCGAACTTCAGCGGGTCCCACCCGAGATCGCCCGGCTCGCGGTCCATCTGGCCGACCCACGCATCCTCTGGGAAAACCAACAGGTACCGATACCGCTACTCCCCGGACCTCTCCCGGGGTACACTGACCAGAATCTCGAGGCGAATCCAACGGTGGCGGCGAGGGCCTGCGAGGAGGCCCAAGAAGGGGAAAACGAGGCGAAGGGGTAGAGGTATGGGTACCTTTTCCTCCTCCGATCCTCTGGGAAATACTTGCCCTCCATGAGCGCGATGAACACGGAGATCTGCACCACGCCGAGGCGGCCGACCGGGTCTGCGTAGCAAGCGTCCAATGCCTTCCAGTAGTTCGGCTCCTGCGGCTCGCCCGGGATCTGGAAGAAGGACTGGGTCACCATGCCTGAAGGGGCCCATGGACACAAACAAATACCTTTAAATACACACGAATCCCAGAATTCCCCACATGTTCCCATATGTTCTGGGCTTCTCTCTTCCCCTCTCATATTTTCGCATATTTTCCAATATTGTTCATTTTGTCCATATTGACATGTGTTTCGCATATTGTCCATATTTCCTGGGAGTCGACGATGAATTGTGTCTGTGTGTTTTTTCCCCTCCTGAATGCCTGGAGGAACAAAACACTGCATGAAGATAAACTTCCGAAGGTCCGCGCAGATTTCTTGGACAGGCGCTGGGCGCCTTTGGAGCCGCCCCTGGCGCGCTCCTGCGCCGATCCGACAAAAATCCTAGCGGACCTCCGAAACTGTACGTTTATGCCGCTTCTTGTGAACCGAATGCCGACAAATGCCAGCATGCACACGCGGCCGTGCTTGAGCTCCGCCTCGCGCAGCCACTGCACGTGCGGGTACGTCATGACCATGTTGAAGTCGAAGTTCCTGTCGAACAGCTTGGAGAACCCCAGCGGGTCCCAGATCTCGCCGTCGTTGATCTCTGGGCCAGCGCCCACCATGGTCTTCAGAGCCTTCTCGCTGCCGGGCACCTGGAGGCCTCCCAAATCGGCCCACGGAGGATCGCGCCGCGTCGCCGATGCATCGCCGATGCATCGGCAGCGCCGGGACGGAGGAACTCAGGCTCTTGAACGTCGTTTGACCGATCCCCATCCCCAGCGGCGTGGCCTGGGCCCACTGGCCGATTTCCCCCCCTAGATGGGGATGTAGGTCGTTCCCTTCGGGTTTCGAGGGGTGTATCCCCAACTGGGGAGGTAATTTGGTGGGGGTCTCGAGGGGGATGGGGATGGGGATGGGGACCGGTTGAACGACACCGAACGCTGGGCCGCGCCGCATCGCCGATGCATCGGCGATGCGGCGCGACGCTCCTGCCCCGCCCGCTCTGGCCCCAGCTCGGGCAGGCAGGCCCAGGGAGCACCGCGGTGCACTTCTTGTTGATGAAGTTGACGCCGCTCTCGTAGACCGGGTAATCGACGATGTCTGAGCAGTTTCTTAGGGGGGAGGGCTCCGGGTGAAATCCCTGTGGGCTCTTGCACCTCGAAATTCAATCCGTCTTGTGATTCAACATTGTGGCAGATTCAGACATCGAAAATCAGTCGAAACGGCATTTCAAATTTCACCCTTTGCCCTCCACCCAAAGAAAATGCTCGGGATGTAATCGCTGTTGAGGTCGGTGATCGCCCTCCTCCGCCGGCGCGAGCCGAGGTGGGGAGAGCGACAGGGCGCAGGCCTTCTCAGAAAGCCGCGGGGATTCTCAGGAGCCCTCTGGGAAGCCGTCCCTGTCTTCGGGGGAGGCCTAGGAATCTTATACGGAAGGCTTCTCCTGGCTATACTGGCCATTCTGAGAACACAGACCCCCTCGGGTAATGAAAAAATCATGCCGGGAGATTTTTGCTATTTTCAGCCTCTGAGGGCCCTCACTGGCCCTCGGGACCGTCAAAAGACGACTCAGGATGGAAAACCGGTCCAGGGGAGTGGGTTGAGACCTTCAGGGGTCGAAGTAATGAAAAAATCATGACGTCGGGGGTCTGGGAAGGCAAGCCCACTCTCGCACACGTTGTGGCATGGGGGTCATCACTCGGCTCTCTGGCGGCCGTTCGGGGCGGTCCGGGCACCCCTGGAACGCTTTCGGCGAGGCGCAGCTGACAGAACGCACCCCGAGGCTGGAACATCGCAGAGAAGCGCCGCCGATCCCGAGGCTCGGCGGCACATAAGAGTGACACGAGGTTGAAGTCGGGCATGCCCCTCTACAGGAGGGATCATGAAAAAGATCATGCGTGGATTATTTTTCTACTACTTCTGACAATGTTTGAATACGTGTGTACTACTTAGTTCTTTATGCTTCTTCGAAAGTCCGCGTGTAGGAGGACATGCGCGACCTAACCCTAGACAAGAGAGACCTCTGGTGCGCGGCTTTAGGAGAGGCGCGGGGGAGCCAAGCCCAAGCGCGCCAGCTGCTGCCGTCGCATCGCATTGTAGCGATCGGGGGGGCCCCGGTGGGCCCGCGCCAGGAAGGTCACTCCTGCGAAGGGCCGCTCTCTTATGGGCAATTCTGGAGGCCGGACCTTCTCCAGGGCAACTAGCTATCTGCGCGCTGCGCGCTCCGCGCAGCGCGATGTGTCTTCGCGCTTGCGCGCCGCCCCTCCCCAGAGCAGGCTGAGGGTCCCAGTGGGCACGCGCCAGAAAGGTAACTCCTGCGAAAGGGTCGCTCTCGGACCCTGATTTTCCGACTCCTGCAGAATTACTTGCATGGACGGGGGGGGTGACTGAACCTGAAGTAAGCCGCAAACGACTTGCACGTGAGGAAACCACGCAAGTCGAAAGGCACTTGCACGCCAGTATTCGTCTGAAGAGGGGCGAGGGGGTGGTGGGGCGAAGGCCATGCAAGTAAACTTGCCCGAATCTGGAAAAAACAGGCTCGAATGGGCAGTCTGGAGGCCGGACCTTCTCCAGGGCAACTAGCTATCTGCGCGCTGCGCGCTCCGCGAAGCGCGATGTGTCTTCGCGCTTGCGCGCCGCCCCTTCCTGGAACAGGATGAGGGACTCGCGCCTCTGAAGGGACCCTGGGACACATAAATAAATACACACAAATAAAATGATTCCCCATATTTTCCCATATGTTCTGGGTTTTTGTCTTCCCCCCACTGCCCATATTTTCCCATATTTTCCGCGGGAATCGACGATTAATTGTGTCTGTGTGTTTTTTCCCCTCCTGAGCCTCGCCCTGGCATCGCCCAGACCACGAAGCGCGCCTCGCTTCGCACCCTCGTGGCGTGGCCCTGGGGACCGACACTTCAGGCACCGCGCTCTATAAAGACACCGACGCCTGTTCCGGCCCCGCACTGACGTGCGCACATGCGAGCGGATCCTGGTGTTGCCGAGATCCTGGTGTATACATGTTCCGCTGTTTGCCGGGGAAGAACAAGTATATTGCCAGGGAAAAACAAGTATACGCCACGCCACCCCGACGCCGTCCCCGACTCTTCAAGGAATCCTGGCATTGAAAAAGGCAGTCCGCGACTGGTAATGTACATGATCCGGTTTCCGAACCATTGCTAGAGGCCTCTTACATGGGGTCCGAGAAAATGGGGTCGAAGGATCGCGCCGCATCGCCAATGCATCGCCAGTGTATCGGCGATGCATCGGCGACGTCGGCGATGCATCGGCGACGCAGGCGTGGAAAATCGGGCCTCGCATCGAGTCGCATCGCCGCTTCATCGGAAACGCGGTGCGATCATCCGACCTCACCTAGGGCGCCTAGTATTGCCCTCGAGAGGCTGCACATCTCCCCCCTTGGATGCTCATTCTGGGGACCTTCCTGGAGCCACTCGCTCCACTTGTGCGTCCAAGCTGCGTCGAACCTGAGTCGAACCTGCGTCGAAGCTGCGTCGAAGCCGCGTCGAAGCTGCGTCGAAGCTGCGTCGAACCTGGGTCGCACTTGAGCCGAACTTGAGTCGAACCTGAGCCGAACAGATCCGTCAGGTGGGCCCCAAGGCGGGCCCCCCCAAAACGAGCATCGAATGCCCCCCCCCTCTCCCTGCTGGCCCCCCCCCTCCCTGCTGCCCCCCCCCACCCCCTCCCTGCTGGCCCCCTCCCCCCTCCCTGCTGGCCCCCCCCCCCCCCGAGCGCGCCGACGGCTCCTGGCCGAGGCGCGGCGGCGGGCCCCCGCCAGCGCGGCGCACGCGGCCGCCGCGAGGGCGCAGGCGCCCGGCGCCGGGCCGAACGCGGCGCCGCCCTCCGCTCGCGGCCGCTCCTGGAGGGGGCAGGGAGCCCGGACGCCTTCGCGCTGTGAGAGATCACGACTTTGGACGCCCGACACGGGTACCGAAAGAATGGGTACGATGCCCAACAGCAAATGTTGTCCCAAACCAGCAGCGGCCGCTGTTGGGCAGGCGGCCTCCAGTCTCGAATGGACACGGGCCGCGGCGGCGTGGACAGCGAGGCCTGTTCAGAATGAACAGGAACTGCTGTTGGGCATTGTACCCATTCTTTCGGTCCCCATTTCGGGCGTCTAGAACGACGGGAGGTGTTTCGCGCGGGTCCCAAAAATCCGCGCGGAGCGCCAAAAGCTCATGTTTATGGCGCTTCTTCTTCTCCTCCTTCTTCTTCTTCAATCTTCGGCGGCCCGAGCGAGGGCTGGCGGGTAAAAAACGTCTCGGATCCAGAAGGCTGCGGACGGAGCGTGGAGGAGGGATTGCAATGGGGGCCCAAATCCCCTCGCATTGTGCAAAAATCACGTCAGGAAATGTCCGCTATCCTGGGCCTCGGGACCGTCAAAAAACGACTCAGGATGAAAAACTGGTCCCAGGGACCTCTGGGAGTCGACGTGGTGACAAAAATCACGACGTCGGAGGTTCGGGAAGTTAGCATAAGCATACAGGAGGAGCTCGACAATAAGGAATCTTCCACAAGAAACCCGACCCTGAGACCCCAGGACGTCCACTGGTTTTTGGTGTGGGAGCGTCACGCTTTCCACAGCAAAGCCATTGAAACCCAAGAAACCCAGGGTACCCTGAAGCAGGGTGCTTCCTGGCATGGGCTTCCAATGTACGTAGGTTCGTGCGGCATCGGCGCGCGCAAAGGTTTTCGAGGCCGTGTCGGTCGTTCAACGTGGAATCGATCGCGGCCCCGACCGTTCATGGTTGAATTCCGTCGGGTCCAATAGCATGACCGTGTCCCTCGGTGCCTTTGCGTCGCAGAATTCAACCCTGAACGCCTTCGCCGGCGTCGCTGGCGCGCCAACGCCGCACGAAGCTACCGTAAACTTTCTCAGCGGGTGGAGAGTGGTGTGAAATCCCACCAGCCCTCTGGACGTGGGCGGTTCGGCGGGTTTCCTCTTTCTTCCGCTTCGGGGAGGAGCTTACCCCTCCCCTGGACGAGGCGCTTCACGAGATGCCAGATCAAGATGGTTCCAAGAGGGTTCCCGAGAGCTCAAGATGATCTCACTGATGGCGCAAGATAATGCAAGATCGTTCCAGATGGCTTCCCACTTGCTCGAAGAGACCCAAGACCACTCCAAGACGGGTCCGAGACGCTCCCAAGAGGCCAACATGCTTCGAAAACCTACGAGGAGCATGATGTCTCACCCGTTCGTTTCCCGATGGCCTTCCGAGGCCTCAAGACGGCTCCAAGAGGACCCAAGAGGGTCCCAAGAGGGCCCCAAGATGTCCCCAAGACGGCCCCGACTGCCCAACAGCGCTCCAAGAGCGCCCCAAGAGGGCCAATGAGGCGACTTTGGGAGCTTCAGAGGGGGGGGCGTAATCAAGTACCCCCCTCTTTGATCCACGGAAGCGTTGCAAAACACAAGGGTTTGGAGGATGTTGGCTTTTTCGAATGCCCCCTTGGGAAGCTTTTGGCCCAAGAGGGTTTCCAAGATGTCTCCTGATGCTTTTAGATGGCGAAGTCTGGTCCAAGTTGGCTCACAATGGCATCCAACAGCCTCCAGGAGGCCCATGATTGCTCAAAGATGGGCCCAAGTGGCCACGAAGATTCCCAAGGAGGG